TATATATATATATATATATATACAAAAAATTAGTAAATACATTGTATCAAGACGAATTAAAATAAAACTGTAAAGAAAGCATCTCCTATATGCATTTGTAAATTAAATTCCGCCAATAATTTTATGTAATTTTGCACGAATAATTTTATAAACCAATTTTTACCGAAATATGTATGTTTAATTAAAGCGAAATATAGCATCTGTGATTAGATAAAGAGGACAGTTTAAGCTAGCGTTTATGAAATATTAATTTCTTGCGGATTAATAGCGTATTCGACGTGATCTTTTGTTCTTCACTAATAGATATCGCACCCAAAATGATGAATAAGAATGCTAATGTAATAAACGTTTTCCTGATGGTGTGCAGCTTTGGTTGATTCATGAAATGCTGCAACCGAAGGTATATATATATATATATATATACACCTACCTATTAAGTGTTATTTTGACCGGTTAACCGGGGAACACACGTACAAGATACATCACAAATGATCCAACGATAAAAGCTTAAAAAAAATGATTGCATGATAGAACCTTTATCTTATCTCTTACGAAAGATTCCAAAACGTATTACGTTTAAGTAATTTTAATGATAAAAAGATATCAGTGATTAGAAGAGACAACGATCTTAGTTGACTAATATCAAAGAATATTTAAGTTGAAAATTCCTCAATATAAAGTCAAATATAATAAAAGTTAAAAATTTGAAGAAAAATTAGGAGATATGGTTTTTTGAATATAATAACTGAAAGACATTCATCTTTCAGTGAGATTGTAAAATGAGAAATATTCGCGCATACATATAATACGCTCATCTATTTTAATTCGATCATGCCTTTACCGGATGTTTCAAGGGTCCTTTAATGATCCCAACTGTGGTATCTGCATGAGTATAAGTGCTGTCAACCTAAAGTAACGTAGGCTTGCTTCACTCGACCCTGCATTACATTTTAGCCATGTCCATTTTAATCAAAAGAATTTAATATCATGAAACGAAACTTTTATTTATTACGATTCATAATAGAATTAATTTTTTCTCTAATTTCAAGTTTTACATCAATAAAAAAATGCCAGCTTATTATAGTGACAGCTACTATCAGTTGATTCGTACAGCGACGTGAACTTCATTTCTGAGAGTTGCAATGTTAATATTCAGCAGGAAGTACTCAATTGAACGAAACGGAGTCAACGTCGACATACAGATGTTTCTCATTGAGACTTCTTCCTAATATGTAGCTGTATGAAAGAATAAAATTTTCAAAATTTTTTTTACGTCCTGCGGATACAATTATGTTCCTGAAGGGTGTCAAAATGAAAGAAACTGTACTCGCATACTGTTTAAGGACTTATTATTGAGTTTAAGGTGGATTATACTAATCGATTGTAGTCTGTTCCTCAATACGACAAGTTGGTCTCGATAATTGTCGCTCTTTCTAGCGTTCAAGAAGACAATCTTAAATTGCAGGGGCTCTTTGGTGATGTACGACAGCGCTAGCTGTTCGTACGCAGGTGCGCTCGAATTAAAGGGAGCCTCCGGGGCCGGAGCCGCGGCCGCGGCCGCCGCTGGTGTAACCGCGGCCGGCGTTAAACAGGAGAACTGGCCGTACCGCGGCCTCACCTGCGGCAGCACCTTTCAACGACTCAAGGAAAGCGTCGACAAGGCGAAACAGGCCCTCGCCGATCGCAGTGGTTACCTGGCGGGTGCGTTTTCGCCACCTCCGCGCGCCAACCCGTCCGCCATTTCGCCCACCGCCTCCATCACCGGTAAGCGCGAAGCTCTTCTCTTAATTCTCTACAATCTCCCTCCCTCACATTAATAGGAAACACACTCAAATGGCTATTTTTTATAAAAGGAACTGAGATTTCCAAAG